GATTTTGGTTATGAAGCTGTCGAAGATGCCGTTTTACGCGTTGACTCGTGAGGTTGCCGTTTTAGGCGTTGTTTGCTGTGGCGGCAGTTGGAGGAGCATGAAGAGGATTGCGCTGCGGAAGTTCTGTTGGTGATCTTCTGGTTGGAGATGTTTCTGTCTATAGTTGAAGATCGAAGATCCTTTTGAGAGGAACGCAGTGTGTTTGGTATGCATTGTTTGGGTTAAGTGTAGTTTTAGGGATATTTCTATAATTGTCTGCTTTGTGGACTAGTTTTAGGGTTATTTCCGAAATTGCCTGTTTTGTTGATTTGGTGTTCTCGAGTTTTGTTTTCGAATTGGAGTGCTGCGTTTTGATTATTTCCTGTTTTAGGTTATGTGTTTTGTAGGATTTTTTCTTTTCGAGTTTTGGGCTAGATGATTTGTAGGAGTTGGTGTTTTGTAGGATTTTTATTTTCGTGTAGGATTTTCTTTTTTTGATTTCGTTTGTGTATTTTGAAGGATTTCTCTGCCTCTTTTGCTATTTGCTGTTTTAGTTATTTCCTTTTCAATGTGTGCCGCTGTGTGTCCTTTTAATGGCTCCTGGGTATTTGGGGCATTGACATGCCTGTTCCTGGGTCAATGTTGGCGTCTAGTTAGGCACTGATCCCACAATATAAAACACAAAAAGAGAAAAAACACGAAAGTCCCTAAAAAGAAGGCAACGGGGCGGACGGGGCGGAAAAGCAAAATCGGACCCCACGGGAACGCGATCCGCGGGTCTTTCCCAAGGACTGCGGCGGGATTTTTTGGCCTTCCACAGTGACGGACATTCCTGTGGACCACCGTATGGCCTGGCCTCCCCAAGTGGGTGACACGGCATCTGCCAACGGCCAGGAGAGAGTGGAACTGGCCCATTTTCACCACGGGCGGACATCGAAAAGGCCGACTCATTTTCGCGGCAGCTTTTTCGGTAGGGGTAGGGGTCCTCGAGCTTTCCATTTCGTGTGGAGCCGTTGGGCCGTCCATCACGGACTTCGCGCCACGTACACAAAAACCGAAAACGTACCCCTAACAAAGCACCGCGCCCTCCTACATCAGAAAGTTGTGTGATCCGCATTTCTCAACAAATTCTCCAGTTCACCCACTGTCGGATCAGAAGCTTAGATATACCTTGCTCGAACAAAATGGCTTCTGCTTTCATAGGCGGGCAACCCTACTTTTCTCTGTTGCTGCTTCTGAGTTCTATGCTTGGTGGGTATGATGTCGGGTTGAACTACGAACGCATTGGAAACAACTTCAAATAAAATAGGTGGGCGACCCTAGTTTGTTCTGTCGCCGGCGTTTCGTTCGCGGTGGGGTAATGACGTCGGAATACTTCGTTTCTCCGGACAGGTTGTGCTTGGTGCCATGAATTGATGTGTAGTGTGTTTTGGCTAGTGTATAATAGGAACCTTCGTTATCTGGAAGTGACAGTTTTTAGTTCGAGAGTCTTTGTGGTAGGGCTGGTGTTGTGCTAGGGTTATGAGTGTGGTGACTGGTGGGAATGGGGATTGCTTTGATAGTAGGCTTAGATTTCGTGGCACCGCTGGTGCTGAGGTAGGGTAAAGAGTGCGACGCTATGTATGCAGAGATGGGGCTCCGGGCTCCTGGTGGGGCAGGACAACCTGTCGTCCCTGTTTTTGACTATCTTGTTCATGTATTTGCCTTGGGCACTGGGCCCTGCTAATAAAGTGCAATTTCGGGGGGGGGGAATAAAAATAATAAAATGAAATAAAATAAAGTGATGAATAAACGTGCAGCGCTGGAAAGAAAAAGATTTTTCTTGTAGGTGTAACAACCCACAAAATCGCAGACAGAGAAAACTGCTGTTTTCTGAGTTTTGCCGATGGAACGTGTGACTAGATGAGAATTGCAGCTTCTGCGGAGATTTCAAAGTCTGTGTGTGTGCATGCTTGCTGGTTTCAGTAAGTTTCGCTGAGTGCCTGGGTGCTTGAGTGCTTGAGTGTGTGTGTGACCCGCCGGGGTACTTGTGTGCTTGTGAGGCCCGTGGTGGCCAGTACTTACCTGTGGCCACGACTTCGAGGGTTGCCGCGGGGAAAACACTCAAGTGGCTGAGTGGTAGCTTAGGGCACACTCAAGTAGCCGTCGTGTAGAGGCCCGGTAGCACTTAAAGAGGAGAGCGGTAGGCCGAGCAGAAGAAGTCAGAACGTTTGTACATTTAGAGGCCGTGTGAATTTTAACAGTCCGGTACGCCTACAGTCTTCCCCGGAATACAATGTACGGTCATTATAGCTGAATTTAAGACCGAAAGATAGACCAAATTCAGCAATAATGACCGTGCGTTGTTTTCGGGGGAAGACTGTACAGTACCAGTCCAGAAGTCTGAGTCTAGGGCCTGTAGCAGACGATATCAGACCTGCAATGATGTTTCCCTCCGAAAGGAGGATGGGTCCGGTTCCTTGGCAGGGCCGTGCGGCCTGGAAGTCACCGCCCAAGACGCAGGTTGCCCGCTATATCTCCAGGAAGAGCGTTTTGCTCTTCCTCATTTGCAGTGCGCACGTTTGGGCGTCGTGCTGCTGGAGCCCCTCCCTAGTCACTGTGCAGATCATCACAGGACGCCCATCCTCACGTCAGCAATAAGATTTGGAGGATGGTGCCGCACTTCCTCACCTTTGTGGAGACCAGGAGCAGATCACACGTGTCGTCGCCAGGTAAGTCCAGGTAAGCTTTCATCCACCTCCCGTCAGTCTCACAGCGCTGATCCTCCTCGCCAATCCTCGTCACCTAGTCTACATCTATGCAGTTAGGGCCGCGCCACATAGTCTCCCTCTAGGTTGCCGCCCTCCAGCATCTGGCGTCAGCATCCCACTCCAGCAGCCTCGCGATACAGTACTAGCATCAAGCCTGTGCAAGGCAGAATGTCTTCCCCAGTGTCTGACTGTCCTTTTGTAATGCTGACCAGTGTGTTGACTGGCGTGGACCAGTCTCCCCTTCACCGGTGTCGGCACTTCAGATTTGCCCGTGCGTATATTTCCTAGTCTGTTTGTGCTTGGTCTAACTCTCGACTTTCCAAGAGTCAAGCACTTCACGTGGATGCACTGGACGCTGTTTTTGACCCAGGCCCTGATACCCCTCGACCTTAGGCCCTTTCCTACCCACATTTCTCAGACTTGGGGCGTGTCCTTTGACCCCTGTTTCTGGGCAAAATTGACGCTGTTCTTGACCCAGGCCCTGAATCCCCCTGATACCCTTTGACCTTAGGCCCTTTCCTACCCACATTTCTCAGGCTTGGGGCGTGTCCTTTGACCCCTGTTTCTGGGCAAAATTGACGCTGTTCTTGACCCAGGCCCTGAATCCCCCTGATACCCCTCGACCTTAGGCCCTTTCCTACCCACATTTCTCAGACTTGGGGGTGTGACCTTTGACCCCTGTTTCTGGGCTTTTGACTAAAATTGACGACCCTTGCCTGGGACGGGGTGGCCATGAGCTGAGTTTATTTCAGATTCACAAATAACGGACAAAAATATGTCCCTTCATTGAAGTTCATTCTTTCGTAATGCCGGCCCTTCCTCCTCCCCCGCCAAATTACACTAATCCTTTCCTTTCCTTTCCTTTCCTTCACTTACACTTCACTCCAACGAGAATTCTTCCTCAGGTTGTGAGAAAAACTGGGCAAAGTTGTATTAGACCAGAAACTCAACCAGATACATTCACAAATAACAGAAAATACGTCCTTTCATTCTTCTTGCTACCGGACCTTCCTGGGCAAAGGTTGTATTACATCAGTTCCTTGCCCAGATACATTCACAACTAACCGAAAAAAATGTCCTTTCATTCTTCTCTTGATACAGAACCTTCCTCCTCCTCCTCCTCCTCCTCCTCCTCCTCCTCCTC